ACAAGTTATAAACCGGCCCGTTTGCAACTATGCCAAGAATAGCGTTTTCAGAGCAAAACAGACATTTTCAAAAATACTTTCTCAACTTCTAGGAAGTTCCAGAACATGGAATTCCGTATTTCAGACATTTTCTCAAATGGTTTTTTTCAAAATTTCCAATTTCTCCACAACTTGGAATTATTTGAATAAAAAAGTCTGAAATATGAAGTTTCATTGAATTCTATGTATAACACATAAAATTTCATGTTCTGAAACGTCTCAGAAGTAGAAAATCGTCTCTGTTTTTGAACTGAAAAAGCTATTTTTAGTACTGAAAATCATATAACTCGGCTGAAACTGGTGGACGAATTCTGAAATTCTCAGAAGGGTTTCAGCCAGGCCATCCTTGACTCATCCTGAAAAATAAATCTGGGCCTGGTTTTGAGGTTCCCTTGTTAAACTAGCCGAAGAAGTACCGAACGACATTCAAAGTCCACTTCTTCTTTCTCAATCGTATGACCAATTTTATTTCCAAGAACAGCTACAGTACCCATTCCCAAAGTTCCGCCTATCTTTTTAAAAAGTTTTTTCAACTTCACTGAACTCATCCTGTACTCATTATTTTCTGTGTCCCCCGACCCATACCAAAATGACATTCTTCACCCTTTTCTCATTATTTTCTCTCTTCCTTTTCCCTTTTTTAACCAGACTTCGTTTCGCTGATTATCCCTTGTTTCCCCGTTCTGTGAGCTTTTCCTTTCGGGAACATTCTCGCGAAAACCCCTTTTTTGATTTGATTTTCAAATTGGATCTTCCTTTCTTCAGCAAAAACACATTTTCTCAAATATTCCAAAAAACGGGATATATGACGATGTTGTGTGGGACGAAAGAAGCCGTAGAAGTACAATGATATAAAAATGAAAAAAAATTCAAAGTTCTTTCTTCTTTTTTTCCATAGAACATATTTCCTTTTCAAACTTTTTCTCATTTTTTTTCCAGAGGAAAATGAACTCATCCGAAGAGAACCAATTCATCGGAAACGCTGGAACATTGAAGAGCAACAAGGAAGGTGAGTACTATAAATGTGGTAGAGCGATAGCTTTCAGATTGTTCAAATTCATAAATTGATTTCTAAATTTTTCCAGAACTTCGCCTTCACTTGTCGGAGAGTGATGATTCGTTCAGCAACCGTAACATCATCAGACGTGCCAAGCTGATGAACAGCTCGCACTTCGTATGCATCGTTATGACTGCCACTCTTCTCGTCACCGTCTGCGGAATCGTCTTGCTTGTTCAAATCATTGAGCGTTCTCGTCAATAAATCTTTTTTCTTTTTGTTTTCATTTTCAAAAAAACGAACTGCCCCCACGCAGGATTGAACTACGGACATTTGGTTTACAAGACCAACGCTCTACCACTGAGCTACACAAGTGATTCGCGCAGCGTCTATAATAGGTGAAATATTGTTCGCGGAAAGTCGCCATGGGTACATCGGAACATGCCTGCCGCAGGCCATTTACAGACCAATTGCGAACGCGCCACCGCAAACGACCAATATTCGCCCTATCGCGAGCAAATCTCCTACGATTGGCTTGTCGCGAGAGCGATAATTGGCATATATTGTTTCGAATCTGGAAGCTAGCAGCTGCTAAAAATTGTTTATTACACAGAAAAAAACAATGAAAAGCGAAAAAATTAATTAAAAGGTATATTATTCTCTTCCGCTGTTGTCGAACTGGCTGAAACGGCATCGGAGCTTCTCGTTTTGTCCATTTTTGCCTCAGTCGATGACGATGAGCAGAAGATGATGTTGATTGTTGCTTCGAAGTAACTGAAATGAATTATCTAGATTTTAAGCTCCCAATTATTTTTGTACTATACCTCTGACCATACTTGTAACGGGCCGTGCCGGGCTTTTTCCGGAATTTCGGAGGCCCGGCCGGGCCCGTCATTTCACTAGTTTCGAAATTTTCAAAAAACACATAAGGGGGAACCTTATGTGATTTTTTTCGACCAAAAAATTTTTTTTCGAGTTTTTTCGATCTTTTTTGATCAGACAGACAAACAATCCGAAATACGAAAAAAAATGAAAAAAATTATATTGAGAGCTCAAAATTTGGCTCAAGAATACAGAATTTTTGACACCGGGCCTTCCGGGCCGGGCCCGGGCCTTGAAAATTTCCTCAGGCCCGGCCCGGGCCCGGGCTTTGGCGGGCCGGCTCGGAATTTTACAAGTATGCCTCTGACACAAGTTATCGACTGGAATTTTTTTCGAAATCCGCGAACTTAACACTTCCGTCTGAAATCGACTTTTTCTCTGACATTCGTTTTCAAATTTACCCACTGTTCCAGAACTTTTTCCTTCCTCATTCTCAGTTGCATTTTTCTGGAGTGCCCAGTCGACATACTGGAAAATTGAGATTTTCTGGTACCCTGTAAAAATTAGATTAAAAATTCGGATTTTCTGGACGCTTCTTACCTTTTGAAAGTACAGAAGCAATGCTTCTTCCAGAGTTTTTCGAAATTTCGGCTTCTTGCTTCCGACTTTTGTCTTCCGGCCATTTTCTCTATTTTTCTGCAAACAAAACGATACATTCATGGTTATACAATATTGTAGTATAGTATTATATGTTAATTAATAGATTCCGAACAAAAACTGCGAAGAAAACGGCGAAAAAATAAGTAAAACATCCAAAATAAGAAAAAGAAGTTCGGAAAATAAAAAACAAGAATTTCTTCGCGATTATTCAATTGTGGACCTTTTATAGGGCCAGTTAGTAATATACGCATTTTGCTCGCGAATGGTCAATTGTAGAACCTCTCGTTCGCGGTAGATAAGTAATTGGTCGATTATAGCCCTTTTTCTGTAATTGGTCAATCACGAATCACCTGTGTATAAGGGCATAAAAGTCAAACTTTTCTTTTTTATACATGAAAGACAAGTAGGTCATACAAAGTGTTGGTTTGGTTTTGGGGTTGGTGAACGGAAAAGGAAAAGAGACGTAGCATGTGTTCACGAGAAAGCCAACATGATGATTGACTATTGGAAAATGAGAAAACGTTTCATTTTGATCCGATTTCAATATGAGATTCATCTATTTTATTCTGCTTCCAGTCATTGGTTAGCTGATTTAGTTTAAAAATTACAATGAGCTTTTGAAATTTTCTTTCAGTCATGGCAGATAAAAACAACACTGCTGCTTGCTTCAGAGACCTCGTTGTTTTGGTAACTCATTCACTTATTCAATAAAAAAGTTTTTTTTTCTCCAGAAAAATATCAGTAATGAATTCATCCTTCTGTATGCGACCGCTGGTGGCAATGTCCTTCTTCTGATTCTGAATTCCACAATTCTTTTCGCAGTTCTCGGATATGTGAGCAAAGATGAATTTTGGTTTCATCTGAAAATTCAAAATTTCAGATGAAGCCAGTCATTTCGGAAATTCGTAAGCAGACATTTATCATCATTGATAACATTCTTCGCTCCTATATTCCTGCTGTAATTGAACCCAACGAATTCTCAAAAATCATAAATCCGATGTTTTCAGGAAATCCGAGAAGTTGTTGGCTGTAAACCAGAAGTCACGTTGGATGGAGGAGAAGAGAAGAAAGAAAAGAAAACGGCTGGAAAAGCAAAGAAAAGACCATCAAAGCCTTCGAAAACGTCGAAGACTTCAACTGGAAAAACCGGAGCATCCATTGCAACAACTGGAGGAACTGCTGCTGCCAGTGAATAGAAAAACTCATTCAAATAAAACAATTTATTTTGTTTAGAGCAGTATCATTTTATCACAATTTCGATAACTCGTAAAAGTTTCTTTAGAAAGAAAGAAATTACAAATATAGATATTTAACCTAAATCAAAGAGTCACATCGTTTCTGGAATTAATTTCGCTGCTTGGTTCTTCCTGAAATTAAATTGAATTGAAGAAAGTTTTGGGGTTGGAATCTTTGGAGTTTCTTATTAAGACATTTCCCAGAAATTTCGGAAGTTGGACTTCCATTCGGTCGGGAAATTTAGCTGACCGATTTTTTGCGCTCGCTCGTCAACCTGCCGAAAAGTGTTTGCGTACGTAGAATTTTATTTTACGACGCATTTTCTGTTTTCTGAATGTGGTACGCAAACACTATTTGGCATGTACGAATTAGGTCGGCTGTCGGTCGACGGATTTTCGACCGACCGAAATCGAAGCCCTGTTTTCGAGTTTCCTCCAAATCGTATTATAATTTCAAAATATTAGGTTGGCTAAAAAATAATGAGTGGTGTGCTTGTCGGAACGTATTTCTCTATCCGGAGAACATTTTTGCTCCCCCTTTTTTTTTATTCGAAAGAGCGTTTTTTTGCGCATCGTTTGATATATAGTCTCAGTTTGCCATTCTGTTTTTTCAATTGAGAATTCCGTTTAGAAAACGTTGCTCCAAAAAATGCGCGGGGAGGTACAATTTCAAGTTGGTCAAAAATGCCGCGCAAGCTCTTAGTTCTCTCTCAAAAATATTCAAACAAGCTTTTCTATAAAAAATTGATTCGTACGCTAGTTTGAACGTTTTCATCATGACGATGAAAGCTTGGAAAACCGTGAACACACCATTCGACTAAAAACCATTGACAGTGAACTGCTGAGAGACTTAAACGAGTCGGATCCTTGTCAAACGACTCGTAGTCTTTCAGAACCGTTTTCTTGTACTAATGGTACCATTGAAAACCATTTGCACAAATTGGAAAGTCGAACAGTTGAGGAAGTTTTTTCCTCAACCACTCCCTTCTCGCACTTATCAGAATTATCCTTCTTTTCGCGAAGAATATCGCCTTTCTCGATTCTTATGTTATGTCGGATGATAAAGTGATTCAGTACGATAATACTACTCAGAATAGACAACGGTTGTCCCTCGGAGAACCGGCCAAAACAACTCGAAATGAGAGATATACGGAAAGAAAGTAATGCTATGTGTATGGTGGAAGAGCAAGGGTCTTGTATGTTTTGAAGTTCTGGAAAAAGGTCTAACAGCCACTACTGAACTCTATCAATGATAATTGGGCCAAATGCAGCAAGCGTTGAGACGTCAAGGTGTGAATACACCAACGACAAAATTCCTTCATGATAATGCTCGGCCCTTTCAGATTTCCAGTAATTTTGGCACTTTCAGATTTCCAGTAATTCATATCAATGCGACCCTCATTAGCCGAGAACACTTCAAAAGCCGCGTTGAGACCGAAAAATGGGGGGTCGCCTACTTTGGGTCGCAGCCAGTGGGGTTCTTTGGGGTTCCACAGCGGACCCCATTCTTTGCGCGGATGTTGGCTACAAGTAGTTGATAATTATGGCAAATAGCTTTTGAGTTAATCTTGTCTACTTCCTTTTTTATGAAAAATTCAATTGATCATAAAAACAACCATTATTTTTTAGCCAACCTAATATTTTCTCCAAAAAACTCACCAGCTCGCGAAGAATATAAGAACTTGTTTCAGCAATCGTGGACAACCTCTTCAGTGCATGATCACTTACAGATCTTGTTTCATCCGATGTCCCCTAAAACTTTGAATTATTGTCGTAGGAAGCGATATAAGAGAAGAAGATATCGTGGGTGATCTATGATGTTAGTGCTTTTTCTGTATTTTATCTATTTCACTGTTTCTTTTCGATGTATTCGCCCACATCGTTCCCATGAGCCATCATGAGAACGGTTTTCTTTCTCTATCTGTCCGCATAAATAGCGGTTTTGCCGCTGTATTCTTCACTCTTCAATAAATCATCAAGTATTATTTCTTCATCCGGCCTTCTTACAACAACCGACTTCTTCTTCATTTTTCACATGGTGACCCAGGCAGGGTTTCACTCTTTGTTATTATGAAACTCACCTGCTCCATTTTATCATACATTGACATTCTTGTATCCTCATCTTCCTCTTCAATTCCATCTGTTACCCATGCCATTCCTTTCCACACCTGAACAAATATAATTGAAAATCGAACTTTGAAAAAAGATTAACCTGGTGCATAATATGAACTGCAGGCGCCAACATAGCTACAGTAGCCCGTGATTCTTGCCTAACTGTTAATCGTGTTCCGTCTTCTGAAGTTGCCATACTCTGTGCAGCGTGTCTCTGCATTTGTGCCCTTAATCCTGTCATTTTTGGACTCGATGTTCCGTCCGGATGCACTGGATACATTTCTTGCATGTAGTCCTGAAAAAGGGGAGAGAAAGTAAATTAGAATAGACAGAAAAAAGGATTTTTATGGTTTCTGGCTTACTCACATGTAATAAAAGACAGAAATTCGTATACCACATGGGATTTGCACATGCTCCTGGGTTCGCTATACAAAGAGCACATGCGAGCATAGTTCCTGAAGAAATAATATGAAATATTGATGAAATTCCGTAAAAGAGAAACTCACCAACAATGCATAAAAGTACGATGTAAAGCCCGAAATTGTACATTTCGAGATCTATAATTGCCATTGTGATACAAGAACACATGATAACAAATAGTATCATGATGGCGAGACACGCGTAGAACATCTGAAAAATTGATGAGATGAAAAAGGATGTTGAAAGATTTGGGGGAAAGGATTGGGGATAAGATGTTTGGTCTTGTTTTAGATTTATGAGAAGATTAATATGAAAAATGCTCCGTTGACGGACTTCGGGCATTAAAAGTTTATATTTAGATTATTAAGGTTCCTGTTTTGAGACAATAATTGAATATTAACTTATTCAATCACTTGAAGATGTCAAAATATAACCATCTATATTCACATACTGTGTTTTTGTTTCAATTCAGAGATGTTTGGAATAGTTTTTTTTCAGAATTTCCGGAATGTCGAAAATTCCGAGTTTCAAAATTTCGGAATTTCAGAGAGATATTTTTCTAACAACATGAACTGATAACATTTTGGGCAAATCATTTTTTTTTGTATTCAGAGTTAAGATGACAATCATATAAGTTTTACTGTGCTGATATCGGTCTATAATTCGAGACTAATTTTTAAGCATTTTAATTTAATTTAAGGTAATTTTCTGAAAAAAAAATCTTTCGAAGCTAGTTTTTTACTTTCAGCTCGCGCGTTCTTTATAGGCTGAGTGACAAAAGATGATATCTTAAATTCGGAAAACGGTAATTCATGGAATAATCTGGAAACCATTACCGGTCTACATATTTTTTTACTAATGCCGTAAAATGTATGCGAAATCCGAAGATTTAGACCCCCAAAGTACTTTTAGTAAGTCTCATATCACTCAATCAGAAATATACCTGATCAGGAACCAACATTGAATCGAGCTTAGAGGAGTGTAGTTGTTTTTTTCAACACAGAGAAAGAATAGGAGAATGTGATATATCAAAGTATTCTGAGGATGGAATGAGATCCTTTCCTCTGCAGTACGTAGAAATTGGATAGTAATTTGTAAATGAGCAATGTCAACTCCTTCTCCTTTTTCATTCTTGTCTTTTTTCCCAAACTTGTGGCCCATGGAAAATGAATTCCAGGTCTAGATTTCGCTACTTAAATTAGGACAATACATAGCTAAAAGAAGAACATCGAAAAGGTACGCCTTGTAAGGAAAAATGAATTGTTGAAAATTTTGTAGAAGGCTCTTTTTTTAGTTTTTTGAATGCAATTCGATGCGATCTCTTCTCCGATTCCTTGTCTAATTAGACTTGGATTCAGAAAATAAGAGAAGAAGATAGAATTCTATGAATAGAAGGACTGATTTGTGAATCCAAAGAAGTCGAGGGAGAAGGAGAAGAGGAAGGAAACACGAGGCGATTGCACAAGGGCGTTGAGAGGTAATTGGCAGAGCAATCAACATGAGAAACAAACTTTCTATCTGTTTTCGTTGATTCTAATGAGCACAAAATGTTGCAGAAAACGGGAAGGGAGGTTAAAGACTTTACGAACTAAAGTGGAAATTTTACTGTACTCTTGGTTTGGAAGTATGCCAAAAATATATAATAGCTTCCAGCCAGATAGCAACATTTTTGTGAAGACGAATTAAGTTATTTTTAAATTCCACTTTTTTGAATTGGTAAATGTAAAGAAAAATAAATCAAAGGGGGGCTCCCACCAAAAACCTTCATTGCATTAAAATATTTGAGAGGCTATGTATTTTACTGCGTGGGAACTCAAATCCTCTACCCAGTGAGTCAATTTTTTTTCATTTTCCATTGCGTTTTCAGAGGTTTCGGTTTTTTTTTTTGAGTTTTTTCGAAGTAATATTATAAAAACATACCAGGCTGGTGGGCCTTCGGCGCGACTTAACCTATTTATTTTACTGTTCGATTTCTCTTTTCAAAAGGTCACGTCGAATTATATTTGATTTTCAAGCTTTCCAAAAAATCTATTGCGTTATTCACGTAACGCAATAAATCAATAGTTCGATCAATATTGCGTCACGCCCCTTCCTTCCATCCACGTTAAAAAAATCCACATATTAAAAAAAAAAAGTTTTTCTGTGGAATCAAAATTTTTGAATTTTATTGCTAGATAATTATCGCTTGCACTTTCTTACTGTAAGAAGCTCTTTGCCTACGCTGCTTTTTTTGGTTCATTTTCTTTTTGATCTTTCGATTGGTCAAATGCGATCAAAGTACTAGAAGGCCCTAAGGGTCGCCATGTTTTGGGGTTCATGGCTAGGTGTTTCTCACTGAACGTCCCCCTTGAGCAAAAGATTCAATCGAAGATTTAAAAGAATATGACATAATCCTTAAAAAGCGTAGCCAAGACTTCTATATCAGTGAAAATGAGCTTTGGAAATTATCCAACAATGGTCCTCGGAGACCAGGGCGGGGGGACCCTTTCTACTGAGCCTCTACGTGGCGAAAGGAATCAACAGACGAAAGTCTGGCTAATCAGTACAAACTTATTATTTTCGTTTTCTTTGTTGATAATAAACGCTGTTTTCTGTGGATTTTGACAATTGTCAGGAGTCTGGAGCTCGTTGGTCAGGTTTCTGATAACTTTTAGAATTTGATTGGTGTAAAACAGACATAGATTAAAGACTTTGCATTCACAGAGATTTTTTGAAAATTCAAAAATTTGATTTCTATTATATAAGGAACATAACTTTGTGAACATTTTAATGCAAAACAATTAAATACAATTTTTCTTGGCTGGAGTCCCCATTCCATGAATTAAATCATTTTTCTCTCAAAAAGCTACATTAAAAAAGAACTCAATTGCTCATTTCGTCTTTGCAAAATGTTGTGAAAAATGTTGAATTTTCTAATATTATTTTTGCTCAAATTTCAAGTATTTTGGGAATACATGCGATAACGAAAGAATATGATTATTTTGGAATGAAATATTCACTCGTTTAGACTGAAAATTGCTTGGTCCAAACCAAAGTGGCAATTTTTGAGTATTGCTATGTGTTTAGTTTTATCGAATTAGCTGGAAATCAAATAAACATACGAAGTTTTGTTCTTAAAACCGATTGCAACACTTTTACAGCTGAAAAGTGGAAACAAAGAACGTTGTCCTCTATGTGCTTCTCCTCATTCAATTCTTATGAATATTTCAGAATTGTATTAATAAAACACATCCTACATTAAACTTTTCCTTTTTTTTCAAACTAAAAAATGTCCTCTTTTTTCGACAAGACATAAAACAGCAAATGAGTTTAGGAATTGGACGAACTCAAACTGAAATCTTACCACTTCATCATACAACATTTTTCTTCCGTTTTTAGGAATATTTCGAATAAAAAGAGCCCGGGATGAGACTGGGAGAACCAACAAAAACTATTAGAGTTTGGGAGAAACAAAGGGAAAAAAGACGAGAAATGGCTAATTTGGGATTGCAACTTCTAGATGAATGGGCACCGATAAATGGAGGGACCAAGCGGGGAAAAATGGAAGAGAAGGCTCAACTTGTGGGTTCAAAAAGGGTGGAGCAAAGAGAGAAAAACGTCCCGGGGGTACGATTTCAGAGAATGAAAGAACACTGTTTATGTGCATGCACTTACGGATATTGAACTGGATTTTATTTATAAATCAGATTAGAGAACTGAAAAGTTAGATTTAAATTGTCTGAAAATTGAGAAATATATGTTTTTTTACTTTTCTAAAATTACCGTATTTCCTCTAATAGAAGCCCATGGCTTCTATTTTTCAACCTACCTCTGGGGTGGACTAATTTTGAAGAAAACGCTCAAATTAGAATGTTTTCGGCTTTCAACTGAACTGGAATAGTTTTCACACGACAAGAATTAGCAGAAAGGACCAGAAAACCAAAAAAAAAAGAGTATGGATAACCTAACCGGAAAGAAACATGAACAGCCAGGGTGGACTTCTATTAGAGGTGGGCTTCAAATAGAGGTGGGCTTCTATTAGAGGAAATACGGTAATATGGAGACTAGAACCTCTATAATCAAAAGATCACAAGAAATTCGATACTGAAATTTGGAAATTTCTGCAAAATTTGGACCATTTTGGTGATTCTGAATTTATAGTTGTCATCTGTTTTTGACAGCTTTTGAGTCTTCTGAACAATTATTGAATTTGTTATCTTAGTTTTCGGGAAAAAATTGTTGATTTTCAACTCTAGTAGTTGAGAACCTTTTGAAGCAGTTGTTGTGCTAAAAATTCGTTTTTTTTTCGTTTTAAGAAAAAAGTTTTTATTTCTAAATTCAAAAGTTTTAAATTGGAACCTTTTCCATAACTTCAAACTAAAAAAAATATTTTTGTATTAGAAAAAATGAGTCATCAGTTATGTTTTTGGCACCTCTTCATATTATGAATTAAGAATAAAACTTTTCTAGCAGGCTGCAACACATTTTCATAATTAAATTACTTTTCAGTCTTATTAAATGTATATGTTTACTGTCTTGTAATTCCTTAACGTTGTCCAAATATTGAATCTGATAATCTAATGTGTTTCTTTGAAAGTTTGAATGATATTAGTCAGAATAATCAAGAAAGTTATTCAGTGAAATTCAATAATAGCTTTCTAAGAATACCAAAACGATATTAAATTAGCTTGAACATCGGAGCAAAAAAAAGTTGGTTCCGGAAGGCAAAAAAAAAACCGGAAGAAAAATAGAGCAATTTTGTTTCCAAGAAGTCATCCAAAAAAAAAGTCTTTCACGAATACGAAGTCGTTTTTTTCCATTTTTGGCAGTGCCCACACTTCAATTAAAAGGAGTGAAAAGGACGTGCTTCCTCATAAAGTCTGTGTGAAAAGAAACACGTAATTGCTTCGGAAAACTTGACGACGACACGCACTCGGTTTTGACCGCATATTTTTCTTCTCGAGCAAAGAACTTGAAACTAAGGAAGGTTGTGTCAGAAATAGAGAGAAAATAGAATAGAAATTGACATTATTTACGTATTCAACTGCAACTGGGATTTATGATCTGACTTGTTTTTAGAATAGAGTAAGAAGGGAAAATTAGTATTCCAAAAATGGGTCACTTGATATATCCTATTGAGCTTTCATCTTCATCTCATCGGTCAATCCTACAAAAAGCTGTTGAAAACTTACAGTATCGAGTGGTCTAGTTTCACTAATAAGCTTTGAAATGTCGACATCGTATCTTGATTCCAGGAGCATAAAACTTGAAAAACTGCTGTTATTTACAATATACTAACCCGGACTGAAATTTCTAACAACATAAAATTTTAGTTAAGCGTTGTACTGGGCTTAAATTTGAAATGCAAAAATTTCGAATTATTTGATCAACTTTGAGCTGCGTTATCGCTTTTCAACAATGGCGTGCGAGAAACATTGTTCTGTTCATCTTCGGACAATCATAACAATACCTAGACTTGAGGACTCGCTTTGAAAATTTCAGTAGTTTTGAATCAAGCATAAAATTATTTTTTCTACCAATTTCTATGCTTCCAGGATACTTTTAGCCCGGATAATTGTACATCACCCTGTATTTATTGGTGTTTTCTGAATTCTTTAAACTTTGATAGTGTCCACAACAAAAAATTCTGGATTTTCAGATGTGATAGGAGGATTCCGTCTATAACGTTTTGCATTTTAAGCCGATGTTCTCTTTCTCGACTTTGTTACTATCGTAAGAGATTGAAAAATCGAGTAGTCTGAAACGCCCTAACAATAAGCTTTTTCTGGTTACCAAGAAAACCCTTAAAATAGCAGGAAGCTAAGAAGAAAACACGAATCAATATATAGAGATGAGCTTTGCAATGAGGGAGATGCGATTAGCTTTTTTGCTCTCATTGCCTCGTCTCCGGCCGCTTTTGATTCATTCAAATAGAAAACGATTAGGCAGTCAAGGCCAATCTGGATTAGAAAGATAAGATGATTAGAGAAGTAAAAAGGAGAAACTAATCTGAAGGAGAGAAGATGTAAAGAGATGTCTCTGAAAAGGGGAAGAGCCAGAGAAGGGTAAAAAGAAAGTGTGTGTGTGAGATGTTTAATCGGGCTAATATATATTTCTGAAAAAGAGAATAGTCACCTTTTTTATGGATTATTTCTCCTTCTCTTTCATACACTCCTTTCATGAAAGTCCTTTCGTCTCTTTTCGGGGATTCTTTTTTATTCATAGTTTTTATTCATTCTGAAATAAAAACTCACCATTCTAATGTTTTGATTGAAAGAATATTTTCTCACAATCCTATTGACAACGAAGACAAAGAAGTCGGCTATATTTTCCTAACCAATTTTGATTTCTGAACTATTTCGTTTGGTTTCATTTGAATTTAAGAGGTGTTCATGCGATTATAAATATAGTGAAAGAACGAGAAAAGACTCTGAAAATCTGGAAATTTATAAACAGGAACGTGCATTGTAGTAAATTTTGAATCTTGAATCAGGTAGGGTTTCATAACGTAATGAGATGTTGAAGATGAAGAATTGTAATACAGTTTTGTAGGCAGTTATTTTGTACGATCGGATCAAAAAAAATGGTAATAAAGATTACAGAAAAAGAACGAATTCGTTTCAAAGTGTTCAATTATAAAAAGAAATGCTAAAACATTGTTTAGAAAAGAGCAAGCAAGATTGAGGGTTCAAATATTCATGAAGGAAATAGGAGATTCCTGGTGGTCGAGTAGAAAAAACAACGTTTTAACTTTAAATTATAGATTGCCTTTAACAGAAAAGCTCTTAACTTACCAGCTGAGCTATCTGAGCAAGTTTCCAAGTTCAACTCATGGCCTATATCATTAGAAAGCCCATAAAACTTCCAAAACTGATGCCAAAACTTTGTGAGAATGCTATTTCAATAATTTCTGAACGTTTTGAACATTTTTCTGCACTTTTCAAAAAATTTTCAAACAGTAATTTTCGAAGTTTAGGAGTCCCCATGGCCTTTGTTCAAAAACTGTTTCAGACGATCGAAAAACACTCGGAAATTAGCTCTTAGAAAAAAATCCTGCAAATCACTTTCAAAAACGCCCGTTCTGATACAGAAAAGTATCTGAAGTTAATTATTTTCATTGAATTTTCAAAAACTGACCGATTCTGACTACCGTAACAATTCATGCTCCAAAAATCAGAATATTTCAATTTTCAGTCTAAAATGAACGGGCATATAATTATTTTGAACCATGGGACAAGGGTGTAAGGATCCGCCCGTGCGATGTCTTCGCTCTCATAAATATTCATAATTCAGCCTACGTCTTGAAAAATGGTCGAACGCGCGGTGAAAAACGGGACTCATAGAAATGGGACGACATCAGAGCACAAATGAGAAAAGAACAAAGAGAAACAATTAGAAAAAAGAGAGAGAAAGAACTCATTTTGCTCTTTCCATACATATAAAGATATCCGGAACGGAAATTGCTTGCTATTCATTATACTATTTTCTGTTGATTCGAATTGTCAGAATACGGGAAAAAGAGATGACTGACTGACATTTGACGGGGAAGAAGTTTTTCTGTCGCTTTCAAACAATTGGAATAAAAAAATAACGGAAAAGATACAAACAAAGTGGTTGGATGGGAATGAATGAGACAAAACAAAGAGGTCCCTTCTGAAGACACGCGATTGTTCCGGTCGTACTTCAAATGAGTTTCGAGAGGATCGATGAATGGAAAACATGCAAAAAAGAAAAATGGAAGAGAAGAAGAAGAAGAGAGATGGTTGCAGATGGGAAAATTGTTTCGAAAATGATGATGACCAGCACATGTCAGAAATAGTTTTAAGGATATAGAGGAGAAACAGAACTTAATGATTTAGACGGTTCAGATGGATATTTTGGGATCAGAAATGCAAGAAATCATTCATGGATCTAAACAAGAGGGTACACCTTCAAAACAAAATCGTTGTAGCTTTATCATGTCAAGTTGCAACTACAAAATATAACAACAGAATGGAAAAACAACGAATGATTCGGATTTATAGATGGAATTAGCTTTGTTTTTTTCTGTTTCTTGTTTGGGTTAACAAAAAAAATACTGTCACTAGTTGAAGTAGCATAGTAAAAAAGTTGTATTTTAAAATTAAAGTTGAAAAACTTCAAAATTATGTTCTTTCAAAAAAAAAATCTAGAACTATTTATGTCATGAAAACTATCGTTTTTTATCGGTTTTATATGAATATCAGTAATTTTGGAATAATAACTAAAGCCATTGGTATGCGAAAATCCGAGTTGTGGAAGAGACAATTTGGTCCCCGCGGCCACGGCCACGGCCAAACTACTGTAATTAGTCATATTTTTAAACAAGCATAATGGTTCTCGATTCTTTGTTGAACTGATAAGACTAAACATCCGATATTACTTCTGTAACTTCAAAATATAATTCTTCTGATCTCCCATTTTTGGAAAACTCCTGATGATATCCATATTCTCAATATTCCGAGAATTCCAGATATAATAAACATAAATTTTTCACAAGTTTCAAAGACCCCTAAATTCTAACAACATCAAAAGAATCAGAATTTCAATATGCGGTCCATTTTTTTTTCTATTCTTGAATACTGTTCCATTTATCAACAAGAGATAGCAGTATGTGAATACAACGTGATCATCTTCCGTGTCTATAAAATTAATTAGCCACGCTTTCCACAACTCCACTAAAATGTCCCTATGGACTCCTCCTTTTCTTTTATATATTTTCCCCCCGTTTTCCTCTTTGGCAGGTTTTTTGTTTTGTATTATCTATTGAGACACCCAAAAATATTTCAGAGGGAATCGAGGTGATTCATAAAACACGTGGAAAATATGTCATCGTCTTCTTCTTGTGCCAAACCGGAATTTCGAATCGGTGAATCGGTTTCGGGATTCGAAGTGATCAAGAAAATTGGATCGGGAGGGTTTGGAGCTGTTTATAAAGTGCAGAAGGATGGGATCGAGTTCGCATTGAAAACTGAATTTATCGACGATGAGAGTGATGATACGCTGAAAAATGAAGTTCACATGCTCAGATTGATGCAATGGTCGCCATCGTTCTGTCGTCTATACACTGCCAAGAGGGTAATTGATAGTTGTGTTTTTTGCGTTTTTTTTTGTAAAAAATAGAAAATTTTCAAAGTTTTTTAATTGGGACTCCAACCAAAAATTAATATTTTTTAATTTATCAAAATGTGTAGAAAAAATATGTAGATTTATATAGCAAACGAAGAAAAAATTCACAGAAATAGTAAAGCCTCGAAAAATCGCTTCTCATCAATTACTGGAAACTTCTTGTCTAAAACTCTTTATTTGTTGCTAAATGGTTGGTGGTGGTGGTTTTGTCTAAAACTCTTTATTTGTTGCTAAATGAATCTACATATTTTTCTACACATTTGGATGTATTCAATATAATCAATATTTTTTTGGTCATGGTCAATCTTTAAAGAACCATATCTACCAAGTAGTGTTTCAGCTTCCATGGCAGAATCAAAAAGTGAACATAATGGTGATGACACTTTGTACTCGGCCCGTTTCCCGACTCCGCCGTATGATGCCTGATAGACATTTCACCAAATCCACGGCCGCCCGTCTGTCTCTCCAACTACTGGAAGCACTTCGCGATTTGCACATATCTGGAATTATCCATCGTGATGTGAAAGCAAGTAATTGTGGATGGCACGCTCCGACTAGAAGAATTCTTCTTTTTGATCTCGGTTTTTCTAGAAAATATGTTCGTTTTTTTTAGCAATTATTGTTAATTTAAGTTTTGAATTTCAGCTTGAAATTGATCCGATCACAACCAAGATGCGTCATCGGGCTGCACGAAAAGATCCAGGATTCATGGGAACCAGCAAGTACTGTAGTGTATTTGCACATGATGAGAATGAGCAAGGAAGACGGGATGATTTATGGGCGTGGCTCTACAGCACTGTTGAGTTTTTCCTTGTGAGTAAAAATGAGTATCTTACAAAGTAAAAACGAGAACTCAGGGAACACTTCCATGGTCCGATGAAGAGAAGTCGGTTCGAGTGAGCAATATGAAGAAAAAAGTTGGGAGGAAGCTCTTCTTCAAATGTCCTCGTGAATTCGCTCTGATGTATGAGCACATTCGGTGAGAACATTGTTTAAAAATTTTCGAATCGAAATTGTTTTGCTTTCAGTCAACTGAAGTATGATTCTTCGCCTGATTATCAAATGATGACGAACCTCTTCAAACAAATGTTCATTCGTCTCGACATTGAGGATTCTGATCCTTTGGATTTCGAACAGGGATCCATATTTTATGACGAGTATTTCGTTTCTCAAACTGATTCGGAAAAGGAATTAAACAGTGATTTGGGTACTTCAGATGAGCTAGAATCTCATCATAATAAAAGATCAGAAGTTGTTACAATTGGATCAAAAACCGATTCTAGTGAAACCGAGAACAAGCTTGGAAGGTACTTATTGTTTTCATTGATTCTTGTTATCAGAAGACATAGAATTCCAGACTTGCCGCTGGCTTCAATCGGGCAATCAATCGTTTGATATCTTTCTAGGTGAGCCTTGTACTTTGAAAAATTCAAAATTTAGTTTTTGCAGGAAACAGAGTGGAACAATTCGAAAACGATCGTTAACTACTTGTGACTACCAAAATAAAAATTGTAGTGTTATTCTTGTAAAAAAAAATTTCTCTATTATTATATTTTTCTCCTTAAAAAATGGTGGTGCTTACGAAGGTGCTTTTTTGAAGTTAGGGTATGCATTCTGACGCGACGGTGTACAGTGTTTAGTGTTCACACAGCGCGTTGTTATCGTTCCGTTTTCATCTACTTCACGGCCACCGTAGCTCAGCTGGTAGCGCGTGGCTCCTCCAGCGGTGAGCCCACAAGATACACTCCTTTAGGAGCTTCTATGAAAGGAACTTCGAAGAAATCTTTTTTCAGGTCCTCGCCTTCACAAAATGTTGGTATTTAAGGACCAAGATTTCATAAAGTCAAGTGTTTTATTTAACTCGTTCACTATTGGAAAGAAAAATAGGGAAATGCCTTCACATTGATATGAGTGTGAGAAAAGATGTTGAGAAAATATACAGTGAATTATTGCCATTCTATCCGTACTGTACCAGAACTTTTTTCGAGTGCTCTGGAAACTGTCATTGTCAACTGAGTCCTGTAGCCTTTGAATTTGCCTTGAAGACGCTCTCCATGCAAGCGCGAAACACCATCTGGAAGTTTTGATACGTTTAATAAGATTTGAGCGAAAACCCACTTTGATATTTTCCGTATTTGTTGCTGTGGTGAAGTGAGGGAACACGGATTTCTTTGGTTTCGCTGCTCGAATGAACTTATCGCAAATGAACTTGCTTGTATTGTCGTATGAATTCTCTTCTAAAACAGAATAAATAAGATGAAAAAATTAGAAATTTGAAGTATGTTACCTGCAAACTTTGAGAAGCATGGTTGCAGGCTCACTTGTGGAAGAAGCTCTTTGAAAAGGTCGACTTTGTTGAAGAACAGTAAGAAGACAGCGTTTGCAAGAGCATGTGATCCAGCGACATCGTTGAAAATCTTCAGAGCCACTTTCATATCGAATGCATCATTTCCAATTTCGTTGAAAAAATTTGGAAATCGGCTGAGCTTAAATTATCGAAAGATTATGTCATGAAGCGGATTACAGCAGTTTACCTCCGTTCGACTCTCTTCAGATTTCTTCGCGTATCCAGTCAAATCGATGACAAATATGACAACTTTCGCATCATCGAATAAATGGAGCCACTTCTTTCTCTCCGATCTTTGACCGCCCACATCAACCATTCTATAAATTCATTGAATGTTTTGAAGTTGAAAATTCTCAGAAATTCCTTTTTCTATTCACAACATCAAATTAACGATCTACTTGATCAGTAAACAAGTTTTGAATCACACCTATAATTCCCCAAATAACACAATTCAACCCAAATGCCCACTCAATTTTCTTACAGTAATGAGACACCGGTGTATTGGAAAACAATGCTGTTTATGCTGACAGTCGCTTTCCGAGAATGGACGATATCTTCCTCGTTCGGAAGATAGTCTGACTTTGAAATCCGATTGAGGTTCTCCAAATAACTGAAACCAGAACATGTGTTTGATACAAAGATCTCAAACTCACTATTTCGTCGAATCTAGCAGCTCGAATTCGTATCTCCGCTTGTAAACCTCTTGAATTTCCCGTGAGTTCCAGAAGGCAGTCAGAGGTTCAACGACATCAGGGATTGTTCGAATAGAAAACTCATCGGCAGCCATTGGAGCGTAGACTTTGTTAATATCGTGAACAAGCGATTCCAAAGACTCAAGGGAGATGCCAACGACTCGTGCGCCGCTGACTAGCTGGCGGTACGTCTGACGAATGTTTGTATCAATGAGACCACGATACTGAATTAGTTCCTGTTCTGTTTTGAAGCCATTGGAATGAATGATTCTGAAAAGAATTTCAGTTTTCAAAACTTCAAGGATGCAAATTAGCTAATCAGTTGGTAAAATTCAAAGAACTAAACATTTTAATGAAGAAGTATGCTGACTCACTGCATTTGTTTAAAAATGGTACTCTTGCCACTGGATGGTCCCCCAAGAATGAGTATCTTGATATGTGATCCATAGGTTTTCTTGTCATTCTCAAGGGATTTTTCAATTTCCAAACTCTCTTTTCTGAAATTGAAAAGATCAAAAATATGACTACGAAAATTGTGCGTTTTGAAGTGATAGAAAGTGCAAATTCAATCCAATGTAGACACTTTTTGCAAAAAGCTCACTTTGCTAATCCTCGGAGTTTCGCTTCCAGCTCTTCAGAGTGTGCATACAATTCCCCTCCATCTCCTTGACGACTCGGTACCATACATCTGAAACCAAAAATTCTGAAACTAAAACGGGCGAGGAGACGAATATACCCTTCAGGACCATGCATGCATTGATAACAATAATCAAGGCCTAAGTTGTTGAAACAACTAAACATCTCTGATTTTCTGTGGATCCTATACGTCGATAGCACTGATTTGGACTCTGCTGAAAATCTCTCGTTGTTTGACATTTTTATTCAGAAAAGAGAGGCAGAAATAATTGGACATGTCAATGTTCAAAAACAAGAAACAAGAGACAAAGTGAGAAATGAAGAAGATAAGAAGAAGCAGTCTAGTAGAAGAATGAAATAGGAAAGAGTAAGAATGAGAAAAGAGAGCTCAAATAAAATTAATTAATGCCCCAGGGACACTTTTTTTGCTATGTATCCCATTCACACCTATTGCGCATACATGCTTGAATATTATCAGTTATATGACACTCAACTAGTAGTATTTGACGATGGAGAAATAAGTTGGAAAGGAAAAGCGAGACGCCTGCTAATGAGCAGTTTTGGAATGAAAACTGAAGCGGAAGTCGAGCGAAATTTCTGATTTCTTTTATTCTAGAAAAAAAGCATAAAAGTACATATTAACCTGAATTTCTTTTTTTTTTTTTGGAAATGATGCTGTCGGGATTCTAGCAAGGATGCTCTCTCAGAAATTTTAATTATGGTGTAAGACTTCGGGACTACCGTAAAACCTGTATTAGAAGGGCCCCTTTAATAGAAGGGCTCTCTGAGAGGAGCCTGGAAAAATACAACCCCTCCAAAATGTGTCATGAAATTGAAATTTTTCCGGAAGTCAGGGAAAAGTATTAAGGGAATTCCGAAATTTCATTGAAATTACCTAGTTGAAACACTATTTTTTAATTTAAAAAACTTGCTAAATTTTGGTGAAATTGACAGGTTTTCATGAATTTTAAACGAAAATTCGTCGAATTTTTAAATGAAAAACTTCGGGGAAAATGGCCGGAAGAATAGAAGAGCCGGCCCTTCTAATACAGGTTGTTGGTCCTTCTCTAACGGCTTTTTTTAAGATCGGAAAGATTTGTTTGCTCGTTTGTAGTAATAATTTTAATAGGCAGATAAAGAGATTAGGTACTACAGTTTCCATTTTATAGTTTTGAATATCAAAAGTTCACCAATTATAATACATTTTGACATCTATATCTGACCCAAATTCTGAGTTTGGAGCACAAACACTTTTTCAGAGCAATCCAACCCGACGAATTGACCACTTTTCCAATTTCTTTGCGTCACTCAATTATGCTCTTGCTCGAGACAAATCCGAGTGTTTTTGGGAATGAGAAAAACGGAAAAAAAGAGAAAATGAGAGGCAGTGGAGATTTTTTGGGGAGAATTTGGGTGTGCAATATTGTTGGAGGACAAACTCTGAAAGAGAAAAAGTTTCTAGTTTGAATAAAGGAAAAGTGGAAAACATGAATTATCTGATTTTATAGTTCATATATTGACATTTTTTAAGTTTTCGAAAACTTTCGAAAAGAAAATTACAGGTTTTCGGTGAATTTCAAGAAAGTTCAGAAGAACTTACGAATTTTTTATATTTTGTAGGTTAAGAGTGAGAAACTGGATAAAAAGTACAATTTAAAATACGAAAAAGTTTACTCAAAAGTGCATACTTTGCTATAATATTGAAAAAATACCTTAACGACTTTTGATCTTCAGAATTCCTTAAAAACTTGATTCCTTCTTGTTATAAACATGGCTCTTTTCAGAAACTAATGAGTGCCTGGCCTAGAAAAGAGTAATATCAGGAAAAGAAAAAGAAAATCGTCAATAATCAGAAGTCACGTTTTCACCTTCTTCGCATTCTGAATATTCAGCACTTCTCCATTCGAAAGCAGGTGGATTCATCAAGAAGTTTTGTCTATTTTCCAACTTCCGATTTATAGTAATCTACTGTAGAAGACAATTCCTTTTGAAATAAAATACCGGTATTTCAATATGATTTTTTAGAGCTCATTCAGAATTATCATCTTTGAAAAAAAAAAGCAAAATCAACATCTAGACAGTTTTTAACGATGTAATGAGTCATTCATCTGAAAACTAACATCTTATCGGTAGAAAAAAACGCGAATGAAAATCGAATGACGAATAAAAATTGTTGAAAAGGGACTGAAATATATGAAATTAAATTTCACCTGCTCTTTAAAAAATCAGGTTTGAATACAAAACCAAAGGTTTGAAATGTCGAATCCCAGACAAGTTGAAGTTGGAATTTCTGACAAGGAAAAGTATTGCATAACAACAGAAAACAGGGAAGACAGAGTTCAAGAAAATTAGAAGCTGAATCAGAAGAAAAACACTGTCTTTCAGGCTTTTTCCAAATTAAAAGTTGATGAAATTTCAGTCAATCTACATCTAGGTACCGTAACCATCTGCAATGTTTCTTAGTGTGCACAAGGTGTTATTCTGGTACGAAAAAGGAGCTCGAATCTGTGGATTAGAAACGCCAGTGGCCGTGGGCGAAGGTCCCACAACGACAGTTACAGTACCCAAAAACTTCTTTTGTTTTCCGGATTTTTTCCCCTGTTTTTTTACTGCTTATTGTCAAGTTTTGTTCCCGAACAAGCCGGAAAATAATTTTTTTGATATTGGGAAAATCGATTGAACACTTACGGAAATCGGGATAATGAATCCGGAAAAAACAGTATTTTTAGGTTACGGTAGTTGTCACAGCTCCGAATTTTTTGTAACAGAATAATATAGAAAACAAAAACCTAACAAGACAACAATTCAGCCGTTTTAGGGTGAGAAGATGTCTTGTTAAAAAACCGAAGACTCCGCCCTTCGCATCCGTTATGGGCGGAGCCTGAAGCATGTATAAATCTCGTGGATTTCAGTTATTCGTTGCAAGAAAACATACAATAGTTGAAAACAGAAATTATCTCTGAATTTCTTGGACCTTTAGCTGAATAACAGACTGCTTCTGAGTATGATGAATCATGGTATAATAGGGGAGCAGTGATAATTAGGTGACTAAGTTTTTCTGTAAGTTTATCAAAACCATCAGGTTCAAACCAAAGAATTATGAAAGAGGATGCAAATGGCAATCGATAGTGATATCCTGTTTCATCTTAAAGGTGAATGACGTCAATTAGGGTGAAAGAAAGTTAATTACAGAACCTGAAACTTTGAAATACACAGATTGAATCATTATTACTCTGGTACAAAAAAATCGAGGTACGGACGAGCAACGCCGGTGGCAGCGGTCGAAGGTCTCACAACGACCACTACCGCAACCAAAAATATTATCTTATTTCCTACACATTTTCCGAATATTTAGTTTGGGAAGAAACAAAAGGAAAATCAACTACAAGCAGTGAAAAACAAGAAAATAAATCTGGAAAACAAAAATATTTTTAGGTTATGGTAGTTGTCGTTGTAGGACCTTCAGCCACGGTCACCGGCGTTTCTCTTCCACAGCCAGTATGATACATTTAAAAACGGGAGGCATTCTATACTTTAACATTTGCAGGTCAAAAGTAAAAGATCTATTTCCTCACCTGTTTTCCGATGTTTGACTTCGGGAAAAGTGATGGTAGATTAAACGGTTGAAGTATTGCTATAGAAAATATAGTGTCAATGAGAAATGTGATTTCTGGATGTTATCATTTGGCTTTATGAAGCACAACTCATACATACCTGTAATTACTAAAACCCCTCCTACGCTTTTGCTTTTAGTTTCGAAAACTCTACCCAATTATTAGTAGTTTATCATAATTTTTTTGCTGTTATATTCTGGTTTAAGGTTAGATTCAATGAAAGGTTTCGAGATAAATAACACTACTTAGTACAAAAAATTATAAGTTTTAGAAACAGAAATCACGAGAACCGAAGGGTTTTGAATAATTGACAACCACCACTTTCAAAATTTTCACTGATCACGAAGAAAGAAGTGAACAGTTGAAGGAAAACAGTCTGAAAATGAGTAATCAAGACTTTCCATACGAAAAGAAGGAAGAAATAGCATCTGTCTTTTTTTTGGCGGTGGTGTAAAATCGGAGAAACAGGTGCCAGGAACGCTTTATTCAGTCAGTGAAACCCTAAGAATGCGTCTGCGCGTCATCTGAAAAGGGAGAAATCTCCGGGTCGAGGAGGTCTGAAGATGGATAATTGAATTGTACAT